CCCCCCAACCACTTGCAGCATCAAACCTGGACCTTGATCCACCATGACGAAGCCATGGCTGCTCCGAGCACGGCACTCGAGGACATCCTCTCCCACGTTGCGGACCTCACTCGACCGGGTCGTTTTCTTCTTCTCAGCTTGTGTAGGCTGCCGGCACCTCTGTGCCTGACACCTCCTGCCAAGAATCCAGGGCCAAAGTAGGTATATATCTGAATGTATCCGGCTGCTTCTTGAACCCCGAGCGGTCACCAGGCCCCCGACATTGGCCACATAGCCCGACTTCTGCTGCTCGATCAGGGCGCCCACCTTGGTCTTGGCAATCATCGGCATCAGCCTGTCCCAAGGGTTGCTGATGGACACACCCAAGCAGCCTATGCATACAGCCCAATCAAACAAGAACACCACTGCAAGAGGTGCTGCTGCAACATCTAGTGGCCACCAACCAAATAGACAAATAGACATGTAATCCTTGGTCCTTGATGGAAAATATATCATGGACGCATTACGCATTACTCATTATCTTTCACCTAAGGTTCTAGGCCTAATCTTACAAGGTTCAACAAACACACTCCAGCAGCTTGATTTTGCAGCAACCCAGCGCTGGCTGAGGGCCCGGCGACATGGCCCAGGACATAACCCAAGTAGCAGTCCAGGATGCTTGGCATGGGACTCAGTGCAATGTGCCTGCCAGGTGTTTTTTGGTGGCAATGTGCCTGCCAGGTGTTTTTGGTGGCTGCCTGCCATATCTCAAAAAAACATGCCACTCCATTAGAATGCGTTTCAACCCACCTGTTCGGTAAAAGTTGGAATGTTGACCATCTGGTGACATGCACTTCGCCAATCACGCATGCGTTCCTTTAGCCACACCTTGGGGCTGCCCCTTGCCATTCACACCATGAGATTTGCATGAGTCAGCAAGCCACATCTTTTGTTGTAACAGTTTGCAAGTTTGCATGCACTGGCTGTTTTGTCGAACCCACGAATTGGAAAAACACATCAAGGCCCATACGGACTTCAAATCAAACACAAAAAACTCTGCAGCTGCACATGCAATGCCCGAGTTAAGCTTTGTTGTTTGTGTTCTTTTCGTGGCAGCTCCTTCACCTACCCGGTCCAACCCCTGCGCCCACCTTAAGCTGTGTGGGTGTTGTTCGAAGTGATGTACCGACCGAAGCCCTCGTTGCTTTCGCCTGGCGGTTTCGTAGGCGAAAGGCAAAGGCTCAGCCAGGAGGGGCAAACATGCCGTGCTGGCAGGATGTTCACCAAACAAAATGTCCCACAATGAGCGGCGGAGTTCTGATTCCGAAAGAACTTGAACTTGGAACCCATGAAACGATGTCTGATAGTATATAATATATATACCTAGAACCTGAGTGACCCCTGTTTTGGAGTCAAAACGTGGTCTTTTCCTATCAAAACAAAGGTCAAAGGGGTTCTAGGTATGTATATATATATATAGTAGACCTGGATGGGTTCCAACTCCCTAGACCCTTCCACTCATGCGAACGCATTCGGATTCTGGCGATGCTGGAACATGTCGCACGCACCTGACACGGTGGTCCCATCCAACTCCAATCTTCGTCGTTTTCGCGCAGCTTTTGCTCTCGAAGGTGGTATAAAAATGCAGTCTGACCATTCACCCCCGAAAGACTGACGCGAAAATGGTGCTGGGAACTGCGTGGCGGCTGGGTTTCATTCCCAACCGTGGGTAAAAATGTACACCCTAAAATGACTATAAGTTTGGGTCTATCCTATGACATAGGTCCTATGACCTGTAACAGTGGATGATGATGATGGTTAGGTTGTAGGCCTTGTTCAAAAATAGTAACAATTGTTTAGGACAAACCCAACCTATAAGTCTGATATAGGTTGATTCTCATGGCGAAGGTCTTCCAGTGGCGCCGCACTTACCGTCACGGGGAACAGGAATTCGATCAGGGGCTGGGCATGGGCCCCACGGGCGGCAGGTGCCCTTCTTGCGCTTTGTGGCACAGCTGGTCCCACATTTCTCAATTCTCACCCATCATCAAGCCCAAACAATTGGATCAAAAGAAAAAGGGGCAAGAAGTCGACACCTGATGAAACCTGAAGCTTCACTGCCCCTCGTAGGTCGCCCGTATCATGAACCCGGATGAAGCCGGTGGGATGAGGAAAACGAGTCAACGAGTCAAAACAATGTTCGCTACTAGGAACAAGTGCATCGCTACTAGGAGCAAGGGCCTTACTATATATAGTAGTAACAAGAAGCTATTAGAAACAATAAGCTACTAGTAACAAGTGCATCGCTTCTAATGACAAGTGCATTAGAAACAATAAGCTACTAGTAACAAGTGCATCGCTTCTAATAACAAGTGCCTAACTAGTAGTAACAAGAAGCTATTAGAAACAATATATCATGTCCCTCGTCCCGGCGCCTGGAGAGGCGGCCGGCCACCAAGTTCCCCACGATGCGTTCCACGTCTAAGGGCAGCAGCCTTGGTCTAAGGAACTGATGATGACTGCAGCAGCCTGTTGCGGTGTACCTGACATCCAAGTGCCAACCAGTGGAGTATTTACCGTATCATCTGCCTCTGAAGGTTTAATGTAGCTTGGCATCATGTCCGGATAGATGTTCAGGAAGGTGGGCGAAAACACGAGGGAGATCGGACAAAAACACAAAAATGATCCTTCACACATGATCCTTCACATAGGACCCTTTCGGCATCTTCCATGGCCCTTCTTTCGGATTTGTCTTCCAAAAACCGCACATGGACTTCACCCGTGCCGCACGACATCCGCACTAAGCTTGGAACAAAGGGAGATCATCGAGCCCTGTCCTGCCGAGACTTGGAAGTGCTCGAAAAAGGAGAGCTCCGTGACTTGGAGTCGAATCTATGAATCCGACAGGACTTCTTCTCAGAAGGGTCACTGGAGTTGGACGGAACAAGTTACTTGTTCCACCCTACCTGGCACACCATCGGCGCTGGAAGCGCACTCAGTGGCACTCCTGAAGACCAGAGCGTGTTGATGAGTCTTGGGCAACCTCGCGCGCAGCTCAAGTTGTGTTTCATCCACACACCACACAAACAGCGTTTTGGCAAAACTCTGCAAACTGCCGATCTGCTTTATAGAATCAGGACTATTTGGATGAACAGACTAGTGAAAGCCGTTGATCCTTCCCCCAGGGCCGCCAATGACATCTTGATGTTTCCCATGACCATGTGTGAACATAATTATATAAGTGCATGTGCTGATGCTTGCCGGAAAGGCCCTTCCCGTTCTGCCCAGCTGAACATCAGGACATGCTGAATGGACCCTAGCCACTGCAATGCGTCCCAGCTGAGTGCGAAGCCGTCACAAAGCAACTTGAGTGGGAGGGGGTGGACGAAAGGTATTAGGTCAGCTGAAGCTACCTTTCGTGATATATGGCTTGCTTTCAAAGAACGGGAGCACAGTTTTCTCCAGCCCCTCCATGTACCAACACCCATCCTGTCTGGGTGTCCAAGGGACCGCCAGTCACCACAGTCACCGGGATATAGAGACAGGGCACCCAAACAGGATGGTCCAAGTATATATATATATATTATAGATCCAATCAATAGCTGTAGCAGTAGCAAAACCGACCGAGCTGCTTGAGCTACTTCGGCTCTCACTTCAAACGGCTACCAGTTTGCTTGTCAAACAGCTGAATCTTTGGCCAAGAAGCGAAGAGTAGAAACTCAAAAGGTGCTCTGGCAACAAGGTCAAGGCAGCTTCCTGACACGAGACCCACTTCTTCCCGTGAAAGCTGGGCGCAACTTTGGTTGCAAATGACTAAGCAACCGTCTTCTTTGCAACTGTGTTGAATTGGAGAACTGCGCGCTCCATCTTCCTTTGAAGTAAGCTCCACTTCTTATATATACCTACTCTTCTTTGCTCTTGACACGCGATGGCCGACCAAGAGCACTTCAGGACAAATGTAGTGCAACAAAAGTGCACTAACAATACTGGCCAAAGGTGAACTCCCTTAGCCTTCAAATGTTTTGTAAACCTTCTTCCCCTCTGCATAATATTTAGTACGGACCCACCAACCACTATGTGCGGTCTGCTTCCAAGCCAACCATGTTTTTCCCTGCATGAGAAAACAAACACGTTACATGTAGTAGGAAAATCATGTGAATTAATGCATATTGTATTATCCAATAATAGTTGTATATTCTAGGCTTGTACTATATATATGCCACTTCTTCTTGGGATTCGCTTGAGAAACCGGTAAATACAATGAAACATGTTCCCCATGCCAATGATATATACCGTATACCCATAGCATATCCCATTACAACCATCACTCCACCTCGGACGACAGCTCCATGGTGCGCTCGGAACGTAGCCTGGCCGGGAAGGGAAGGGTGGTGAGGCATGTGGTGTTTCTTCTTCTCCAAGTGGTTCTCCAAATGATCGAGCAAATGTGGGTCAAAAGTCCATAAATGCTACAAAACAGTAGTAATATGTATAGTAGTGTATTTGTGAGGTAGGTCCTAGGGGCCTCCCAAGAAAGGCTGCTTCCGTGTTGACTTATACATCCAATTGGCACACTTGGTGTCTACCTAGTGTTTTAAAGGACACCTTCAAAGTCCTTGGGCTAAAGGGAGCAGTGGTACTTGATGTTACTTGAGTTGCTGTGTTACCTGTGTTGCTTGTGTTCCACTCCTTGGGCTAGCCTTGCCGTCCCCACAACCCCTGGCCCTCTCTGTTTTCCGCTTCAGAGCCCGCAGGCCCGGTCCCGGGCGCCTGTGCATCTCTAGACCTCAGGTACGCGCCCCACAGCAGGCAGCACAGGGTTTAGGGTTTTGTGACCATCCGCAGCAAAGGAGTAGGGCCCAACCGCGTTGGTTATGAAGAAGTCTCTGTACTCCAAACTTGTAACTTCCTCTGAGTCTGTGACTTGGTGCTGGGAAAACCGGCATTGGAGTTGCATGTCTGTCGGAGAAACAAAGCAATTGGTGAAGTGAGGTGAGCTGTTCTTGGCAGGAGGCACCTTATCACAAACGATCTAAGCGCAGGTGCCTTTTGCATAGTGAATAGCCTGTATGCCCAATGCTGGCCAGCACCAGTGGGTCAACAGCACACAGCCCTCCATCAAACACATCAAATTTAGGAGGCCAAAGCTCCATCTGAAGATCCAAGAGGCGTAGCTCCGTCATCTCCACCATCTGCTCGAAAAAGTCATCTGCGATCATGATGACTCCGGCCTCGTGGGGCAGGGCGAACCCGGAACATATGGTGGACCTGCGCGAGCAACTTTGGCAAAAAAAAAACATGAAGTGGAACAACAACCAGGAACGTGCAGCAAAACATATTTATCTCATTTTATCTCCATAATGAAATTCAATGTGGTGGAACCACCCCCTCCAACAGCAACCGTTGCCTTGGCCTTGAACATACCTTACAATACGAGTGACTGTTTCACCCGTATACGCAGCTTGCGCATCCTGCGCATCCTTCAAGAACTCCACAGTGCACACCCCAAGAACTCCATAACACAACTGGCCACACCACACAGCTAATGTACTCGATTAATAAACCCCCCATAGGAAGAGGATTTTCAATTCTAGAGTCTACATCAAGAGTCTACATCAAACATTGTGGGGGGGGTTATTAATCAAGTAATCAAGAGTCTACATCAAGTGCTCCAGTCCGACCAACCGACGCACCCGGACCGACGGTCCGGACTACATGGCGATCGGATGGCGCTCGACTCTCGGTCGATGGCGCTCCACACAGACTATGCGTCCACCCTCCACGTCCGTGGTGTCCGGAAGCGACGCGCCACCTCGGAGCGCGGAGAACGCGTGTCCTTCTCGGTGTCCCGAGCATGCAAGTCGTGCTCGCAGTTCCGCACGACGATCGTGTCGCAAATCTCCTCGACGATTTCGTCCAAGGTCCGCCTGGGCAGCAGCGCGTCGTTCGGAGGCCCATCGCGGACACGGACGCGGAAGATGCAAAGCTGGGAGGCGTCAGTCGGACAGGGGACGACAGAGGCCCTCACTGAACCCCTCAGCGTGACCCACACGGACGGACGCTACATGACTTCGCTCCCGCTCTTGCACCAAACTCTCGTAGCGATGTTTCAGGGATCTAGAAGTTACGACGGAACGGCAACCATCGTCGATTGTTGTGAATTCCCCATATAAATCGATGTAATGCATGCACCATCATGTACCTGTATGATCTTTATCTGAAACACAAATGTTCAAGAATCCTCGGGTCTGCCATCCTTCTGTCCTGGCCTCCTCCGTCGGATCTCCTCGCCGATGTAGCACAAGGTGGGTCGAATCTCTAAGGCCACCTGGGCGATGCGTCGCGACCAGCGATGCGTCGCGATGACGCAGTTTGTCGCACTTTCTGAAGGCGGGACCTACATCACAGGGTATTTGCGAGGGTGGCAACAAGTAAAAAGGTATAGCCACATCAAGGTGGGACCATATTTCAATTGCTTAAGATAAGGTGATAAGGCAAGGACTAGATGTTTATAGGGTGAAACACATACCGCCACTAGAGCCCACGAACGACCGCCCCCGCCCTGCTGCCAGTACGACGGCAAAAAGCCTCCGATTGGTCGGATCGAGTCCGATCACGCCTCTAAAGTGAGAGTCTTCGATCCACAAGCCACGAAATGGTAGATGTCCCGGTTCAGCGCTTGCCTGTGTATATAGATGCATGCAGCAGGAGCTTGTGCTTGACTAGTCCATTGCCCAGTCGGTGGCCTAAGGTCTACCATGTGTTTCAGGTGTTTCATGCTCACATCCCTTGCCAGATTTGCCTTGACCAAATCATTTGATTTAGGAGGCCGTGTGGTAAATGGTTTGTAAAAAATAACGGGTCTCCAAGCAAACCAAATCAAGAACGCCTCTTCCTTGTGTCGCAGTGCCTGCTCAAAGCGAGGTTGCCGGACACCTCACAAAGGCACGCACAGGCGCTGTCAAATCCTGCGAGGCACGGCACGCACCCCTCCGCCGGTGTGACGAGCGTGACGAGCGCGGGTCGGGTCGGAGCGACCGGGTCGTTCCAAAAACCCAGGTCTCCGTAAGGGTCTCCGTAAGGGTCAACGGCGAGACATGGAAGAGTCCTTGGGTCAACAAATGAAAAGAACGATAATCATAACAACAAAAATCCATTGCAAATTAGCGTTTTGTGATCGTGTTTATAGCTCAACTTAGTGACCTGATGATTTTGGCCTTCTTTCTTGAACCTGCTCCAACCAGGACACAGTTGGTCTCTAATTGGTGACTGCAGCAAAAACAAGCAAACCCAGAACCAATGTATTATAATGCACCCCTGGATCTTTAAACTTAAAACGGCCTTGTTGTTTGCCGGACTTCTCAGTGACCAAAAGCCCACCACCGGGTGACAGAAAACACTTCTAGACTGATAGTTGTTCGTCCCCCACCGTGCCACCAAAGGACAACACCATGGCACCATGGTGAAAACATGTGAAAACCCAACGCCCCCGGTGTCCAACCGAAGCGACCCGTAGCGTCAACAGCGGCGTCCACACCGACGTGACGGTCTCCGACCAACCGCGCCTAGATTCGTTTCGATCCACCCAGGCATCCGAATCTGCGTCGCGGCGCGGGTTCGCGTCGACGCGGGTTCGCGACGTGCGTCGAGCGGTGAGGACGTGGTGAGGATCAAGATCAACAGAGCTCAGGAAGTGGCCTCGAGAAATGAAGACTATGTGCAATGTATATGCATGTATATGCATTATATTATACAAAGGAAATGATATAGTTATAATATGTTATAATATCAGTCCATCAGAACTTCGGGCTCAAATCCCAGCTCACTTGCTTTTCGTCAACTCCACCATATAATAACCCTCCTCCTACATGGTACTGGCACTGAAACCACTTGGATGCTTCATTTGCGGGGGATTGCTCCGGCACACGTCCAACGCCTCGGGCAGGTAGGGGGCTGAGTTTCCAGACCCAGCCGCTGACGCTATGCAAAACGCAGTTGATCAAGATCTTCGGTTTCTCCTGTGGAAACGTCCGCGGCGGGGCGCTGTCTGTCATTGACGAGCTCTCTTGCTGCTAAATGGGCGTTCTCATGAAATTGCCCACAAGGTCATGATGGCACGCCCCCAAAACTCAAATGCCACCATTTCAGCTTTCTTGCCCTATAGGGCTCCAAGTGCCTCCTTATAGAAGGTATTTGGACCCTCTAAACCCACCCCAAACATAGGAAGGTCCTTGGAGCCCTAGGGTTGTAGTTGTAGTTTGACATTGCACCTTTTCAGTGAACTTTACTCCAAATGGCAGGTGGCGGTTCTTCGGCGGCGCTTCATAGCAGCTACCCGGCACAGCCCCGCTTTCTTAGCCAAAACCATTTGCCGCAAGAGCCGACTTCGTCTTCGATTCCTTTGACGCGCCTTGTGCAGATGTTCCATGATCTTCCCAATATGCGAAAGCTCACTGGGACCACACCTAGGGTGCAGGCCAGGCGTTCAGGACCCCGGGGTGTAGGGCGAAAGGCGTATGTTGATCGGATCGGTTTCAGGTGAAGGGCGACTGAAGAAAGTTATGGCCCGGAAGAAAGTTTCATGAATGAGGAGTTTCAGAAGGCTTTGTTTGTACAAAGCTTTGGTTGATGATGATGCGAAAAAGCAAGGTTGCTGGTTACTGTTGGTCAGTCCACAAAAGCAGTCAGGATCTGTGGTTGCCATTCATGGTTTGGGTGGGGTCTGAAGCCAGTTCTTCTCAGAAGTCTCATCCAAATCCCTTTTCCAAACACAATATGACACTTTTGAGAGAACCATGACCACACACGTGTGCCGACCACCGCGCTGCCGACGTTTGGGCACGTGACAGGAAGACTAAGGCATCTAATCGCAGGTTGTCACAAAGCCGGATCATCTGGCGGGCGCGCAGAAACGCGCGTTTCAACGCGCGCGCAACGTGACCCATGCGTTGACCAATTCAAGAGTTTTTTTGGGGCCACCTCTTCCTGTAAAATCTTCTCAGAGGAAGTAGCTTGATGGAAGGCCTCCTTGTATCTCCAGGGTTAAACTTTCCTATACATTGGATCTATATATATGGGTCTATAATGGTCTATATATCCTGTTACCTGTAAGAGTCTGGATGATGATGGTCAGTAAAGGCCTTGTTGAAAAATTATGATAATTGGTGAATGACTGTCACAGGTAATAGGACAAACCCTACTACCTATACATTACGAGTTGCAGTTCCATGTCGCTTCCATCTTCCGGGCTACCGACTGGCCATCGACCGACACGACGTTTCATCGTCGCGCCAAGGCCACGAAGGACGTCGACCGGCGCCTGGTTGAGCAGGGTCTTATTGACCCGGCCCAGCTGAATGGTCCGCAGCATGTCACTGCCCGCCTGGGGTAGCACCAGTCAACGCACATGAAGATGGCCAAATGCCGCTGTCAAATGAAGGGGGATGCATGATTGCCTGATAATGCCTGATGACCCGTTATTGAATGCCAGGGCCAGGAAGCTTGCATTCGCAGCACGAAGATTCGGTCGCGAAAAGACCTGCCTGGTTGACAAACATGTTGAAGGCCCTTGGCACGTGAGCCATTGAACCAACGTGTCTTCTAGACTGCTCGTTCCACCACCTCACACTCCGTCACTACATTCACCTCACAGCGTGGTCCACCCAGAAAGGACGAAAAACGATGCCGTTCCCCGCTGGCCAAATACAGCCCCATACAAAGCCATACATACAGCCTGCAGCCGTTCTCGGTGAGTAGCCGCCAAGAATCCTTTCAATTTCAAACTCATGGCCCTTCGACAAGTTCCGAATGCCCAAGAGGGTTGACCCAGCCATCTCCTGTGAGCTGCAAAAAAAGGCCCATATGTTCGTATGAAATGGATTGCAGCCTCACGTGTGCCTGTGGATAGCCTCTGGAAGCGTGACTATTGTTGTCAGATCCAGGCACGTCAGTCTTGCTGCGCCAGACTCCAC